GCGGCGCGCCAGCACTCGCCGCCGCCGCCTCCACCGGCGGCAGCAGGAGGATCGACAGCCCGCCCTGCACGCAGTGGCCAAAGCTGTTGAACTCGGGCAGAAAGGAGCTGTTGGGCTCACACTCGTACGGCACGTCAAACGAGCGAGCGTGCACCTCCTTGCACTTGAGTCCAAAGTCGAAGGCGGCAGGATAGCCGCCGAATCTTCCCGCGCAGACCAGCCGAACTGCGAGCTCGAGCGACAGAGAGAGGCCGCCGACGAGCAGAAGTGAAGCGCCGGCATCGAGCCGCATGTCTGGCCAGTGGTTGGCACGACCTCCTAGCGCAGCGCCAGCGCCGAGCCAGAGGAGCGACAGGGCGAGGAGGCAGGCCGGCAGGACGTAATTTGGACGCGCTGTCGGCTGCAGCGTGAAGGCGGCGAGCGAGAGGCCCATCGAGGCCAGGCCGACAAAAAGGATTAAACCGCGGAGCCACGGTGTGTGTGCACCCTGCACCGACCTTGAGCGGCCGAGAGTCATGGCGGACGAGGCTGGAGGCTGCATATATTCAACTGGCCAGGGCGGCCATCGCGCGGCTACCACCCCCCCAGGGGACCCCTCCGGACTCTTTCAGTGTATGTAGCTCTTACGAACATACCCGTAGGTGAACTGCTGACAGGGTTTGCGATGAGGAGCGATCCGAACGTGGTATTCGGGTGATTAGATCACTACCGCCGAAGCGTATTTGGATCTTTCGAGGTCTCGCCGGGGCTCTTGACCTCGAGAGAGCGTGCGTGTGCCTCTGCGGACCAAGCGGCGGACGAGCCCGATCGATTCATCGAAGAAAGAATTTTAAACCGGCTGATGTAGGCTGGCAGCCTGGCTCTTTGCGTCTTTGGCTGGAGCCGCGTGGACGGGCGGTGGCGGTGGAGGTCGCCGCATCGCGCAATAAATAAAACGGACACCTCTACTAGGAGATGGGTAAAAAGGAACAGGTCCCCGCCCTGCGGTCTTTGTGCAGGGTTCTTTGTGGGTGTGGTCGGCGGCTAGCCGGGGTCGTCCTCCCGATGGGGGACTAGCACTAGCCGTCTTCCACATGGTCCCTCGGGTCCCTGCTGCTCCTAATCTCTTCGTACATCCTCCTGCTGATCTCCGCAACGTCCTGCTCCCTCCCTCGTCTCGCCCTGCGCGACTGCTCCGCCTCACCGTCGTCCGCCCTGCGTCGTCTGGTGACGGGTCCTCCATAGTCGGTTGAGGTCGCCGCCCTCCTCGTGCCTCTTCCCAACGTTCCCTCGGCGGTCGATGCCGTCTGGTCCGCCTCCGCCGTCCCCGGGTCTGCATGAACTGAGCCTCTGTTTATTTATTATTGGAGATTGCCCGACTTGGCGCGAAGAAAGAATTTCCGATCTTCCCGTCTTAGAACTTAGTTACACACACGGCAACCCGTCTCCCCTCTCCGAGTGGCTCTCCACTCACCACTCCCTCAGGCCTCTTATTCTCACATCCTGTAATGCGGAGTGTGTACAAAACCCGCACTGTCATCACCTCTCAACCTCCGCTGCTCTCGCCGCCGCGCCCGGCCGCCCGCCGCTTGGCTGCCTACTCGAGGGGCGCATGTCGTAGACCTGGCGGTCCTCGTCCGCGGCGTTGTAGATGCAGACCGCGATAGCAAAGCCGCGCGGGGTGAGAGACCGGTCTGCCTCCTTGGTCCCCTCACCTCGACCAATGGAGACGACGCCCTTAAACGCCGCGTCGACCTTGACCTTTCTATGCGGAGGCATTCGGAACCCGTTGCCCGTCCAGAGGCCGGTCCGCTTCTTGTACGCATCCATCGCAGGAAAGCCAGAGCTGGGCTTTGGGTCCGACTTTGGCAGATAGCCACCGTAGTCGCAAGGATCGAAGTCGAAATCTGGGCCGCGCCAGAGCTTTTTGAGGGCGCCCGTCTCCGGGTTCTCCAGATAGAAGCGAGGCTTGCTCGGCCATTTCTCGATAGCCTCGGCCAGGCTGGAGCAGCGGTCGGCGGCGTTGTGCTGGTACGCCGGATTCTTCTGGCTCTTTCTGCTGCGGTTCGGCCCATCCAATTTGCTCAGGTCATTGCAGGGAGGGAAGCCGGACACAAAATGCGTGTGCGCGCCAAACTCCTCCTCGATGGCCTCCAAGGTGGCCGGATCGTCCAGGTCCGCGTGCCGGCGCTCGACGCCTCCGTCCATGGTTGGCTTGCCCTCGGGATGCTTCCAGTCAAAGGCGACGCAATTGTAGCCAGCTTCCGCCCATGGCCGCAGCGCTTGCAGCGAGTGGTCATACAGGCTCACCACCCACCAGCCTCCGCGCGGAGCCACCTTCACCTTTGGGCGCCTGTCTGCATGTTTCGCATTGAGCCAGTCGGATATGGTCGGCTGCGAGTCGCTGCCCATGTTGGGCTGCGAATCCGCCTGTGCCGCCAGCTGCTCCCCCTTCCCGCCCGTCGCCTCCCCATCCGCCTCGTTTACCGACTCCTCGTCCGTTGCTGTTCCGCTCGCCGACTCTGCTCCACTTGGCGTCTGTGGCTGCGACTGCTCTGTCGCCTGCTCTCCAACGCTCGGCTGCTGCTCCTCCTCCACTCCTTCTGGCGGATCAGACGGCACGCTGGCAGGCGGAGCCTCAGCAGCGCGCACTCGCTTGTGCTTTTGCCCAGCCTGGCTGAGCAACACACCGCCTGGCTCGCTGCTTGGTCCTGTGCCAAAGCCAAATTCGAGCCGC